CAAAGAAAGAAAAAAAAAAAAAAAAAAAACAATTTAGAGGAAGGAAATTCTTATCCCATTTTTTGTAAAATACTCCTCTCTAAACCCGACACCTTGTAGTATAATCTTGAAACAAGTTAATCTCCACCTTTCTTCTGAGATCCCACATCGGTTGGAGCGGAGAACGAAGCATTTTTTAGAAGGGTGTGGAAACCTCTCCCTAAGAGAGCCAAAACGGAAAGCCAAAGAGGACAATATCCACTAACGAGGCTTAGGGCTATTACAAATGGTATCAAAGCTAGACACTGAGCAATGTGCCAGTGAGAAGGTTGAGCCCCGAAGAGGGTTGCACACGAGACGGTGTGCCAGCAAGGATGCTAGGCCTCGAAAGGAGGTGGATTGGAGGGTCCCACATCGATTGGAGAAGGGAACGAGTGTCAGCAGGGACGCTGAGACTCGAAAGGGGGTGGATTGTGAGATCCCACATCGGTTGGGAAGGAGAACGAAACATTCTTTATAACGGTGTGGAAACCTCTCCCTAGTAGAGGTGTTTTAAAAACCTTGATGGAAATCCCGAAAGGAAAAGCCCAAAAAGGACAATATCTTCGACTATCAGAAATTTAAAGCATGAGACATATTTTACTATGAACTATTATATGAAATATGAACTTAAAAGTGGACTGATTCTAATAGCCTTTCAACTCATTCAGCTACCGAAGGGAAGGAATAAGTAAAGATAAAGCTGGACGAATTCTCACTCTTTCGTAACTAATTAGGCCTTCGAGAAAACATTCCACTAGTAGATATTATCCTCTTTGGGCTTTTCCTTTCGAGGTTCCCCTCAATGTTTTTAAACACTATCTGCTGGGGAGAGGTTTCCACACCGTATAAAGCATGTTTCGTTCCCCTCTTCCAACCGATATGGGATCTCACAATCCATCCCCTTCAGGACCCAACGTCCTCACTAGCACTCGTTTCTCTTTTCAATCGATGTGGGATCTCACAATCCACCCCCACCTTTCGAGGCCCAACGTCTTTGTTGGCATTCTATTCTCTCCAATCGATGTAGGACCTCCAATCCACCCCCTTTAGAGCCCAACATCCTCTCTGGCACTCATTCCTCTCTCAATCGATGTTAGATCTCACACTTCCACTCTTACATGTGTTCTCTTCCCGAGGTTAGAGTTGAAAGCAATGGAAGGGAGACAAGATCAGTTAATTCTTCTC